TACATACGCCATACACATCCATGCTTTCTCCATATGATGTATATTAGTAATAATGGATGAAAAGTATGGTATAATCACTTATCATTAATTATTCTTATCAATAATTTAGTACTACTTATCATTATACACATACATACACTCATGTACAGACACACACACACATATACCCATATACACTCATCTACACACACACACCCATAAAGACACACTTTTATATACGGTAATATAAACTTTTCCGTTTTTAATTTAAAAAATCAAAAAAAATGTCAGCGTTCTGTTTTTCTTCTTGTTTTCTTGTATATGCTCTCTCTATATGTTGTTTATGATCAATAGTTTAGTATCACTTATCATTATTATCACTATGAAACATAATAATTGTTCATTATCAATAGTTTAGCATCATTTATCATTATTATCACTATGAAGCATAATAATCTCAGTTCATTTGTATAATTTTTGATAATCCTTAAAAAGTATTAAAAAATCTTAGTATTTTCGAGATTTAAGCTTTTAGCTAATTATTATATATGCTGTTATGATGAAGAGTGGAAACGTCTACAATTGAATATGTTAAAACAACAGTAATAGTGATAATGATAATAATAATAATAATAATAATAATAATAATAATAATAATGATAACGGTCGAAAATAGTACAAATTTTTAAAATTTGTCTTTTTTGTATTTTCAGCTTTTCTATATGGAATGGAAAATTGTTGAAATCTAAAGATAACGAACAGAAAAACAAAAGATTATTAACCAATGATAATAGTGATGATAACGCACGCTTTGAAAATGTAACATGATTGTGATAATGATAAACCAAAAACAAATAGATAATGATAACTTTAATTTCTGTCAAACTTTATTTCTGTGAAATTCTGTTATCAGTAAAGAACTATGAAACAAAATGATAATTTTCTTCATTTATTCTTCTTATCTATTATCATTATCACAATTATTATTTTCCGATGATATGATATATTTCAAATTAATTGTAAAAGTTGCTATAGTTATTGTATATTTTAATATATAAGATGATATGATAAAACGATGCTGAAAAAAAAAGAAAAAATTCAAAAGATAAAAACGAATTTGTAATTTCACCGATTTCGGAAAGCGGATTTGTATTTTACGATGTGAATTAACTATCTGTTCCTTTCGAATCCATCCGAAAAGAAGATTCACCGGAAATGGTTATAATGAGAAAGAAAAAATTAAAATGGTATTTGATAATTAGTTAATGGAAATATGCAAAATAAGTGATTTTAATTTAAAAACTATGATAAGAAAAGAAATTTTAGGATTTCTGATATCATTAATGTAAGTATTTTGTAGAGGAATAATTTTAACAAATTTTCATTAAATTTTCAAACTATCTCTTTTCTTTGTTCTTTTCATCATATTATATTATTACTTTTTAAATAATTACAAATTTCATTTCTCTCTTTATCATTTCTAAATTCAAAAAATGCAATAAAAGTTAAAAAAACAGAAAGGAATTTACTAACCAAAAAAAAGTTTTGAAAAGAAAGTAATATTTAGCAAGCAGAATTACTTTAGCAATGTTAATTCAATCGGTGAACAACATCTGGTCCATCAGCCGAATGACAATGAATGATTGATTGAATAGATGGAATGAAGGAAGAAGGAATGAAGTGAAATGAAATGAAATGAAGTGATACGGTGAGAGGATAAATTTGGATGGATGAAAGAGGAAGAGGAAAGGAGAATGATTGGATAATTTCAAGTTGAAATAATCTTCAAGACTTTTTTTTTTGTTTGATTTTTATATTTTTCCTCTATGAAATAAAATTAAAAATAAGGCAGCTGTCTATTTGTTTCTTGCTTTTAAAATTCTTTAAATTTATGAAAACATAAAATATTGTGATGAAATATTTGAAAATTGTTTAACATACATATGAATATATGATTTTGTAAATATTTGAAATCTTCATCTAAGAATGGAAATTTAAAAAGAAGAAAAAGATGAAAAGAAAAGTAAAATAAACAAAAAGAAATTAAGCTATTTGTTACATTACTTTAGAATGCCATATTATAACAAATAGACTTTGTGTAATGATTGACTTACTTTTATGCATCCAATGATTAACGGTATGTAAAAAAAAACAATAAAAAAAGTTACTTTTTCTTTTTTCTTATTC